TGTGTGTGTGTGGCCATCTCAGCCCACCAGGGGGCGGGGCTGGCTGGCATGTGGTGCTGGGGGATTGAACCGCGGTCCCTGTGCTTTACCAAGCTTGTTCCAAGTAGGTGCTTTAGACCACTGAGCCATCTCTCCAGCCCTGACCTTTAATTTGTGGTAATCCTCCTGCCTCAGCTTCCTGGTGCTAGGGTTATAGGCATGCACCACAATGCCCAACCATGGAAAAAAAAAAAAAAAATCTAAGATATAAACCCCAGAAACCTAAAAGGAAGATTAGGTGATTTAAAATAATTAAAAATTCCTAGCCAGCCGTGATAGCACACACCTATAATCCTAGCACTAGCCTGTAATCCCAGCACTCAGGAGACTGAGGCAGGAGGATTGCTGTGAATTCAAGGCCAGCCTGGCCTACATAGCAAGACCCTGTCTCAGAAATCTAAGAGGGAACAGCTGAGGATACAGCTTAGTGGCATGGTCCCTGTCTAGGAAGTGCAAGGTCCTAAATTCAGTTCCCAATTTTGAAAAAAAAAAAAAAAATCTAAGAGTGGGCCACACACCTGTAATCCCACTCGTGTGGCTGAGATAGGAGAATTGATAGGAGTTGAGAGCAGCCTGGGCTATAAAGTGAGCTCAAGGCCAGCCTGAAACGCACAGGGAGATCTTATCTCAAAGTGACCAAAAAAAAAAAAAAAAAAAAAAAAAAAATCTAACTGTCAAGCGTGGTGGCACACACCTCTACCTGTAATCCCAGCACTAGGAAAGCTGAGGCAGGAGGTTCACTGAATTGAGGCCAGCCTGGACTATATTTGAGACACTGTCTCAAAAACAACAAAAAATTAAGAATACTTACTGTATATAGAACAAAGATTTTAGCTGGCAATGGCGGCGTGTGCAAGTAGTACAGCTACTCAGGAGCTGGAGCAGGAAAAGTACTTGAGTCGTTTTTGAGACCAGCCTGGGAGACAGTGAGACTCTACTTAAAGGAAAAAACCCTCCGAAGTTCCACTTTTCTTGGTGGTGGGCAGCTGAATGTCTCAGGAAGTTGTCTTCTTGGTACAGTCTGAAAAATAGTGTTTCTTGTTTTCCACCCTTTCAAATGTGGCATGAAGCCTGGGACCAAGAGCCCTTGTGTCCCTTCTAAGATAGCTGGCACTTCCTGGACAGGCTGCTAAGAGCCGGGGCCCTGGGCACTGACCCATCTAATCTTCACAGTTCTACCCCACCCACTGAGGTCCAAAGAGATCTAGTCACTGGCTCTGAGTCAGCCAGGGCAGACTGGGATGGGCCTGACCCAGAAACCCCTGGAGCGTCACCGTCCCCACGGTGGAGCACAGGGCTGTTGGCACTGGCGTCACAAACACCAGGAAGCGCCTGTCACGTCACAGTCCCCACTGGCTGACCATATCCTGTCCCCCAGCCCTGAGGAAGCTGGCCGGTACCTGGAGACCTACAAGGCCTACGAGCAGAAGCCAGCCGACCTCCTGATGGAAAAGCTGGAGCACAACTTCGTGTCCCGGGTGAGCCCACCACCTGCACCCACAACTGCTCAGGGTGCTTGGGCTTCGGTTGTGATCCCAGGAGCGGCCTTCCGCACCCTTGCACCCTAAATAGTAGCAAAAGGGAATTTTTGTTGTTGTTTTTATTTTGGTTTTTCTGAGACCAGGTCTCACTATGTAGTGTAGGCTGGCCTTGAACTCATGAGATCCTCCTGCCTCAGTCTCCCGAGTTCTGGGATTACAGGCATGTACTACCACCATGGCTGGCAAGAAGGGGTTTCTGAGTACAAGCCTGCCCCTGGCCTCCTGGCTCCCGCCCCAGTATCCAACGGGAAGCCTACCCTCTCACCCTGCTCTCCAAGGCCTGAACTTCTCCCAGTGTACTCGACCCTGGGAGCATTTGCCATTGTTTCCTCTACCTGGTTCCAGCTTCACAGTCCAGATCAGGTGCCCCTTCTTCCAGGAAGTCCTCCTGAACCCCAGGCCAGCCTGTGTCCCTGCTGGGCTCTCTCATCCCAGTCATTACTGCCTGCAACTGATTTCTGTCTGCTGGGCTGACAGCCCCAGGAGGACAGGGCTGAATGGTGATCCTGAGGTACCCCCAGACCACTCAGCACTCCAGGCACTTTTGGTATTTGCTGCGTGAACAGCTGGTTCTGGGCTCCAGGCCATCTAGGTAGCTCCTGCCTCTGCCTGCCTTCAAGCTGGGCACATGGACTCCTAGTTTAGTCACCCTGGGGAAGGTGACCTGAGGGGTTACAAAGTGAAGGATCCCTACTGTCACACAGCCAGGAATGGGGAGGGCTGGCATCAGAATCTTTGCACCCAGACAGCTTGGGCTATCCCCTGGAAATGTGGGCTGCATGGCCTTCACAGCTGCAGGCCAGGGACCACTGGTGGTGCTCCTGGGATCTCCATTTTCTCATGCATAGAGGCCGGAAGGGTGGCTCCCTCTGGCCTTGCAGGGTGCAGGCAGCAGCCGCGTCCTGACCCACGGCCTGTTCAGTGCCTCTGGTCTTCCCCTGGATAGAACCTGCTCCTGGTTCATTTCTATGTGATTGACACCCTCAGCCATCTGGGGATTCCTCCGCCTGATCTTTAATCAGCCCCCAGACAAAAGCATTGATTGAACACCTCCTGTATGCCGGGCAGCAAGGGGGGCCTGGCCTGGAACCTGCCCTGCCCGGTGGCGTTCAGGGTTGTGCGGCCTTCTCTCAGTGTACTGTCTCTTCCCCTTCCAGGTCACTGAGTGTCTGACCACCGTCAAGTCAGTCAACAAAACGGACAGTCAGACCCTTCTGTCCACTTTCGGGGTAAGGACTGGTGGCTCCACCCTGATAAACATCTGTGTTCTCCACAGCCCCCCCAGCCTTTCACCTCCCCACCACCTGTTCCTCCAGGCCTACCCCTCCTCCTGGGGGGGGGTGCTGCACCAGCTGGGATGGGCGGGCCTGGTACTCCGTGCTCCTGACCCTCGCTCCTGCCTTCCTCAGTCTCTGGAACAGCTCATGTCAGCATCACGGCAAGACTTGGCCTTGTGCCCTGGCCTGGGTCCCCAGAAGGTAAGCATGAGGGGCTGGGGACAGGAGTAATGTCACCAAATCAGTTGGACCTCAGATCCCAAGGCCTTAAGGCTTTCAAAGGCCCGGTTACCATCCACCTCTTAGAGATGGGGAGACTGAGGCCTGGAGAGTGGTAGGAGGTCTGGGGTAGAACCCAGATCAGCTACCTCTCTCCTCACCCTTAGAGCTGCCCCTAACTGGGGGAAAAAAAGCCAGAATCCCCTAGAACTCTAGATGTAGCCAATCAAAGGCCTGTTTAATGACTCATTCCTCATTTCTCCCCACCCAAGGCCCGGAGGCTGTTCGACGTCCTGCACGAGCCCTTCCTCAAGGTGCCCCGATGATCCCCAATGCTGCTGTGACAATAAAGCATTGTCCAGGGCCAGGCCCTGGCCAAGTGCTGGTGTAGTCATTGGCTGGGGTGGGAGCGGTACAGGAGTGCACGTGGGGTGTTGGCTTCCGTGTCACCTTCTGATGGTCCAGGTGGCTACCTTCAGCCTTTTTTAGCTTCTCAGTATTGCTGGCGAGGCTACACAGGTTCCAGCCGCGGCTGCTTCTTCCGCTTCTTCTTCCTTTCTGGAGGAGCCACCTCCTCAGTCTCCAGATTTAGCGGCAGTTCTGGCCCTTCCTCTTGGGGGGCTATCTCTGGGATCTCCTCTGGGGGTGCCAACTCTAGCACCCGGTTTTCCTCACCCCACTTCCTTTTCTTCTTCCTGGTGGATCCCAGAGCTGCCCTGGCATGGGGCTCTCCCTCTGCCGGCTGCTCAGGCTCCCTTGCCTCCCTTGACGGGTTACTCAGCTCAGTCCTGGGCTCCCCCACTTTGTCCTTCTTCTTCTTGGGGGATGCTAGCACTACCTGAGGTTCCACATCACCTGACAGCTCAGCTTCCACAACCTCTGCCCCTGGCTCCAGCATCAAGTTTTGCCACTTTTCTTCTTTCTTCCTCTTTTTGGTGGACTCCAGGACTGCCTCCACTTGAGGCTCAACTTCCTGCAGCAGTTCTAGCTCCACTGTCTGCCCATGAGGCGCCAGAGGCTTCAGCTCTGGCTCCACAGCCTCAGTCCCTGGCTCCACTGTCACCTCTGGCCTCTTTGCCTTTTTCTTTTTCTTCTTCTTCCAGGGCATGGCTTCCTCCTGCAGCTCCTCCTTCACCTGTGGCTGAGACTCTGCTGTCACCCCCTCTGGCTCCATCATTTCCATCTCCTTCTGCCTCTTCCTCTTCTTGGTTGGGGAGAGGACCATCTCTTCAGGAGACTCAGTTCTAGATACAGGGTCTAACTCAGCTCTCTCCTCTGTTGGCTCCATGGTCTCTGTCTCTTTGGGCTGCCTCTTCTGCTTTTTAGAGGTGGGTGGGGCCAGTACTCCCAGAGGCTCCAACATCACAGTCTTGGGCCCTGTCACCACAGGCTCCACCATCCTTGGTTCTTCTAGCTGGTGTTTTCTTTTCTTCTTCTTTTTCCCCACATCCATTTCTGCCTCTACCTCTGGGGCTCCATGCCCATTCACTACCACCTGAGTGGTGTGTCCTTCCAGCACCTGCCTCTTTTTCCTCTTCCCTGAGGAGAGTGACTTCAGTGCCAAGGGTGACCCAGGGCCTGTGACGGGTGGGCTGCCTCCAAAGGCACAGAAACGAGGCCTCAGGCCAGGAGGGATCTGTGGTGGGGGGCTTGTTGGAATGGGCTGCAGAGGGATCCCTGACCGGGGTTCTTGGGGACCCTCAATGATCCTTAGGTTGCCCTGGGGGCTGGGGGCACAGGTGAGTCCACCTCCTCGCTGTGCTGAGCGTGCCAGCAGGGTGGCTTTCCTTGACTGGGGGTCACTAGTGCCAAGGACCCGATAGCGGTGCCGTTTGCCAGCCAACTTGCCCTTGATGATGTGGGAGCCAGAAAGGGGGACCAGCCGGCCATTGAGGCTAAGGGAAAAAAGGCGAGGCAGAGACTTGGTCAGAACGTTTTGGTAAGACAAGGAAAGGAAGCCTACAAGCAGCATTTTGGGATGCTGGGAAATGTCCCCTCTAAACTTGCCCCAAGTTCAGCCTCTGGAGCAGGGAGGGGCGTGGGACCACTCACCAGTCTGGGGCAAAGTCTGCAGGGGCCTGAATCAGCCACAGTTCTGTATCTGGGCCTGTCAGCGTCTCCAGGGAGAGACGAGAGGGCTCTGAGGCTGAGTGGACTGCAGTGAAGTTAGGGGGACAAGAAAACCGAGCAGCACCTGCAGGAAAAGAAAAAGTGGGGTCTATGGACACAACCCTGAAGAGTGCCCGCCCGCCTGTCGATCCCGCCCTCAAGAGCAGCGCTGCAGTTTCCCCCTCAGGTCGCTGCTCTGCCCATCCATTTTCCGGAGGCGTCCCCTATCTTCAGCCCTGGGGTGCTCTTTCCTGCGCCGGTAATCCCCCCAAAAGGCCAGCTAGGAAGTGAGACCTCTCCGCAGGCCCGGTGTGGCGATGCCGCTTTTTTCACCAGGACTTTCTCGAGCACCCCCATCTCTGCTCAACCTCCCCTCTGCACCCCATCTATGCGTCCGCTCACCGCCGTCGGACTGGGTCCCGTCCATCCTGTAGCTGGAGCAACACGCAGTTCTAGCAACCCCAGCCCCAGGCCGACCACGTGGACTGGAGTGGGCGGGGCAGCTCCTGGAAGTGTCCAAGTGTCTGAGACCGCGGGGTTGTCACTCTGTGACTGTTCGCTTTATTGGAAAAACAAGTGAAAGATTCCCAGCCATGAAGAATAGATGACAAAGGACAGGTTCTTTTTTCAGACATCTACTCCAGAAAGAAGCAGATTGGTTGGGTCTGTGGAGTAAAGGCCACACTAGGTCTCTGTAGGTCTCCCCCACAGTGACTTAGATATGATTTGTTCCAACACCGCCTTAAAGGGGAAGTCACACCCGGAGACCTAACTCTTAAAGAGACAGGAAGATCGATTGGGCTGAAATTCTTGAAGAGGTAGGTAAGAATCCTGGTAGGCAGGGCTCTGTCTTCAGCGTTGGAATCCCTTCTGGAGGGGCCAACATAACTTGGAAGTTTAGACCTTGAGTGAGAGAGATCGGAAAATGGAGGAAAGCAGGTAATCACTTTCGAGGGTATCAGTCAGGGGCGGGACTTCTGGATTCTAGGGGAGCGGGAAACACAGGGGGTGGAGTCTATAGGTTTAGGGTGGAGCCTCGGACCCTGGAGCCAAACCCGCAAGCAGCGGTACTAGCTGAGGGGTGTAGTTTGTAGGTCGGAGGAGACTTGTAGATACCCTCGAGGATCTAGTCTTGTGCTTATGAAATCTTTGAATAGAGAAATAAGCTTTGAGGAATGGAGATGGGGCAGCAGTCCCGATCGCCGACCCTTGCCTGTCCCGAGGGCGTGTAAACACCTGCACGTGGACGCGAATTTGGGGGATGTGCCCACGCTCCTTGCTCCCAGGACTGCCCTCGTGGGGCGACGGGTGGAGCCGAGGGACCGCGGCTAGACAGGGTGACCCGACTGCATTCCTGGCCGGTGTGTCAGCGCCGTTTCCCGCCCCCTCTGCTGAGGTTTCGTATCTTAATCTATAATGGGGATGCCACCCCTTCTGCGGCTTTCCAGAGCAGGGGAGGGGGAGTGAAGGGTTCGCCAGAGATCTCCAGACAGTTCCCCCCGCGCGTGGGCTAGGGACTCTGGGGCAATGCCCCTGCGGGACCGCAGACTACAATTCCCAGAGGAGCTGAGGGGGCGAGGCCGCGGGCGTCGGTCGCCTGTGCTGCTGGGGATTGTAGTCCAGTCACTCTCCGCTCTTGCTGGGGAATCCCGTACAGATCCAATCTTTTTTCCCCCATAAACCTATGGGGAGCTTGAGGTTCAGAGCCCTAGAGGATAGTGATTTAGTGCGGCACTCCTCTCGCCCTAAGATGAGGCATCTAGCCTCCAGTCTTCCACTCGTTTGGTGGTGTCCAAATCTTTACTCCCGAAAGGGGAAGCGAGCAAAGAGATTTGGGGAAAAGCTCAGAAGTCCGTCTTCTGCAACCACAATTAAGTGGGAGTCTCGGATTTTCTGCTTGTCGTAGCCCTGTCCGCCCACGGCTTTGGTGCCTCGCTCTTCCTGTCTGTGAAATGGACTTCTGGTTAATCCCAGTGAGGTTTTAGTGTGCATCCTGCCCTCCAGAACTACATGTCCCAAGGTGCTCGAGGTGACCTTGCTCCCCCTCCCCCTCGGACCCGCCTCCCTCCAGTCCAAGTCACGTCGTCTAACCTGTTCCCGGTGCCTGCCCCGCCCCGTCCTCGGTTCCCCGCAGCTGGAACCGGAGCCGGAGGAAGCCCCCCGTGCCAGGATCTGCCTCGGACCCGTGAGTTCCGCCCCCCTGGGGCCCAGGGACCCTGAAGGACTGGGAAAGGATTGGACGCCGGGTCCCAGGGCAGAATGTGGGCTGCGCAGACGTCTGGGTCCCCTGGAAAGAGAAAACTCGGTTGTCTGACTTGCTGGGTAGGAGGAAAGGGGCTTAGATGCCCGAGTTCTTGAGACAGAGGACTCAGACCTTTTGGTTTTGGGGAGACATTGGAGGTGGGGTTCCTGAGTTCCTCGCCTGGGGGCTCTGGGAAGTCTGAGCGCTTAGGTAATACTGGGGTCTCGGATTCCTGACTCTTAGGCAGAAAGAAGAGACTGGGATGGGGCTGTGGAATAGGTGGGCACCCCTGCCGCCCTCCAGCTGCCTTCTCTGCGGCGTCTCTGAGCACAGCCCGGGGTGGGCGGGGATAGTGGAACCCGGGTCGCCGCTGAAAAGGAGCGGAACGAGTACCCTGGGTCCCTCCGGAGGCTATGTCTCGGTGCTTCCCCCACTTTCCGGCTTTGGGGTGGGGGCAGGGGGTGAGAAAACCGGGGCAGCTCTCCAACCAACTCTGTGCCGCTGAGCGAACCCCAACATGTCATTAACCGGGGCGTCAGACCTGCCTAACCAGAGGAGGGACATCCGCCCCTGGGCTCCCCCTGGCGGAGGCGGGAGGCCTCCACTTGCCCCGCGAGGGTGTTGTGAACTATTTGGGGTTTACAGAGGTCATTCTGGAGTCTAGGGCAGCATTCCAGAATATAGGGTGCGGATTCCAAAACAGAATTCCAGACCACGGGGTTTGTATTCCAGAACAGGGGTCTGGATTCTGGGAGGCTTGCATGGCCAGGCATTTATGCATTGCGCAAGGGAAGGGTAAACTGAGGCTTAGAGGTGACATAGGCAGCTGTGTTGCGGGTCAGGTTTGGCTTCTGTCTTGCTCTTCTGACACCTTTCTGGGGGATCGCATTCCATCTGCTTACTTCTCCCTCTGGGGCTCCTTACCCTGACCCTGGGTGAGACTATCACCCCCACACTTGGCTGTGACCTGAGTTACTGAACAGATAAGAAAGGAAGAGAGGCTAATTCTGGAGGTGTCCTTGAGGGAGGGCAGCGGTGGGCAGGCTTCTCCCTCGTCTCTCCCTTCTCTCCACCCGCGTGTGTCATGGGGGGGGCACCTGACCAGAAAGGGATGTTGGCTAATGTCTGGGTTTGAAGGGCATTTAGTGACCGCCTGAAATGAAATTAAAAATAATAACCGTGGCTGCCAACACAAGGCATGTGTCATGCCTGGCTCAGGGCTGGCAGGTAAACAGGATAGACATCATGGTCCCGAGAAGTCTTTGTCGACTGCCCAGAGGTCACACTCAAGCATTCCACCTTTAATGAGATAAGATGACCCCAGGTCAGGATTCCTCCTTATCTGTTAGTGGGGAAACTGAGGCTGGCTAGCAGGACACCCACCACCCCTACCCTGGGGTTTTGCTTTTGTCTGGACTCTTCCAGGGCTGACCTGCTCCAGTCCCCCAAGTTACTAGGAATGATTACTAACCAGAACTCAGGAATGGACAGGGGGAATTCAGGACTCCAAAATTTAAGAGTTCAGGAGATTGGGACCTCATGCATCAAAATTGAGAGATTTTAGGATCTCAGAAACAGTTTCAGTTGGGTATGGTGTCGAAAGTCTATGATCCTAGTACTCAGGAGGCTGAGGCAGGAGGATTGCCTGATTTGGAGACCAGCCTGCACTACATAGTGAGTTCCTGTCTCAAACAAACGAACAAACAAAAAGGGAAGAAAAAGAGTTTTGGAGGTGGGTGTAGAGGCGCATACCTGTGACCCATTTTTGGGAGACTGCGGCAGGAGGATCATACCAAGTTCAAGGCTAGCCTGCACTACAGAGTGAGTTCAAAGCCACCCTGAACTAGATAGCAAGACTTTGTCTTAAAAAGTTGAAAGGCTCTTTTGGAGGTTATTATTATTATTATTTTTAAAATGTATTGGGTACAGGGTGTCACTGCTAAGCAGCTTGGACTTGTGGTGATAAACCTCCTGTTTTCAGCCTCCCCGACACTGGGATTATAGGTGTGTGCCCCTACTCCTGCACTCCCAGTGGCCAGTCCCAGGGCCGGCAGGGATTGAACTCCAGTCCCTGTATTTGCCTAAGCAGGCGGTTAGTCCACTGCGCTATCTTGCTGGTCCTTTGGGGGTTAAATTTTACCTTGGGTCTTGAGGTCACTCTCTGGTGACCCTGCATAGTTTCTTTGCTTTGTTGTTTCTTGGTGGGGGACCTGGTACTAGGAACTTAACTCAGGACCTTTGGACTGACCAATATCCCCAGCCCATTTTATTTGTTTATTTATTTTTTGAGTTCAGTTCTCACTAAACCAATGTTAAGTTGGATGCGGCCTGAGTTTGAGATCCTCCTGCCTCAGCCTCTCAGGGTGGTGGCATCACAGGCATGCCACACCCTGGCCAACCAGTGTGTTATCTTAATGAACCATCAAGGAAGGCTGGTAATTAGGGATTGAGGATGTGTGAACCTCATTTCATGCACTCAACTGTTGTAAACACTGTACATAAATTAGGTTAGCCAATCCTCACACCCCTTTAAGGTGAAGGCATTTATGTGCCCATTAAATACAGGAGGAAACTGAGGTACAAAGATGCTAAGGAGCCCGAAGTAGAGGCAGAGTGAGAGGAAGTTCCTAGCCCATTCCACAGAAGGGGAAATCAAACGCCAGAGCAAACGGGGGAGGACACAGACAGCGCTGCTGTGTCCCGACCAAGCCGCAGGATTTCAACCTGGTATTCCCAGCCCCTGCTGGCGCCCTGGCCTGGTTCCTGTTAAGGATCCCACCTCCAGGTAGCCCGACGAACCTTAATCCCAAAGAACCTGGCCGGGTTAAAAGAGCTGGGGGTGGAGCGGAGTGGGGAGCCCAGGAGAGGATGCTGAGGTGGGCGGGAATCCCCGGAAGGAAAGGGGAGCCTGAGTTGGAGAGGAGCCGGGGGATGAGGAATTGGGGGCGGAGGGTTGGAGCCTGGGAACAGAGAGCCGCGCCCCGCGCCCCGCGCCCCGCCCAGCCCGCTCCCCCGCCTCGGGAGGTGCGCACCTGCCCGGGCCCGCCGCACATTCCCGGGGCCTGAGCTCAGGAGCTGTCAGCCCGCCCGCTTGGCCGGGGTCAGGGGATGACCCGGCGCCCCCTGGCGGCTCTGGCACGCCCACCGCCCGCACCAGCCCCGGGGCTTGCCCCACGCCCAGGGCAGAGATTTCCTTGGGATGTCAGCGTGGAACCTGAGAATCTTAGGCCTTGGCGGATCTTGCAGTCCTTAAGGGAACCGCTTATTGTCGGCATTGCTGGCGCTGGAGGCTGCGTAAAACTGTTTTGTGTTTTCAGTCCCGGGCACTGAAACCTGGGCCTTTGCACTGAGCTACATCTCCAGCCCCTTTTATTTTTAATTTTGAGACAGGGTCTTGCTCAGTTGCCCAGGCCGGGCTCTGATTCTCGGTCCTCTTCCCCTGGTCTTTCAAAGTGCTGGGATTGCAGATGCGCACTACCACCTCTATCTGATTTGATTGTTTTTTAATATATTTTAACAGACATAAAACAGTCTCTGTTGCTGAGATTCTAAAAGCCTGGTTTGGTTCCTTTTGAGACAGGGTCTTGTTTTGCTGTTCAGTCTGGCCTTTAGCTCACTTTGTAGCCCAGGCTGATCTCCAAATCACAACGATCCTCTTGCCTCAGCCTCCCTAGTGCTGGGGTTACAGGAGTGTGCCACCACACCCAGATCCCGTTTGGATTCCTATAGTCTCTGTATTCTGACGTTTCAGTTCGTGAAACCTGAATTCTAATAGTCCTACTTGGTGGAATGCTACTTTTCTCCATTTTACGGATAAAGAAACACAGGCACGCTGATCAGGGACAGCCAGTGGTCCTACCAGATCTGAACCCTCAAAGCCTGATTCTTATTTGTGCTTTTATCTCCTCTGCGTTTCCAGGATGGTTTGATCCTGGGATAAAAAGTGGGGCAGTGACAATTGTGAGCTATCAAATTGGAGAATTCCAAAGACAGAATCTTGGGGCTGGGAGATAGCTCAGCTGCATAAACGTAAGTAGCTGCCTGGCAAGCATAAGGTCCTGAGTTTGAGGCCCAGTACCTAAAAATAGATAGATAGATAGATAGATAGATAGATAGATAGATAGATAATCCCCAAAGACAGAATCTTGGCTATAGAACTTTCCAACAATAGACTCTCAAGTTGAGGAGTTCAGGATCTATGGGACTTTATTATATTTTAGTTTTAGGTTTCTTTTTTTCTTTTCTTTTCTTTTTTTTTTGCGGAACCAGGGATTGAACTCGGCCCTTGCACTTGCCAGGGAAGCACTTATTCCACTGAGCCATCTCTCTGGCCCCATTTTTTTTTTAATTTTTTATTCATTTGATATAGGGTCTTGCTATGCAAGATAGCGGGGATTGAACCCAAATCCTTGTGCTTGCCAGGCAGGCACTTAGACCACTGAGCTATCTCCCCAGCTCTCTGTATTTTAGGTTTTTTTTTTTTTTTTCCATAATTTTATTGAGAAACAAATAGCAGTGAGACAGTTTCAAAATCAATTGGTAGGACAGTTTCAATAATTAACACATTGCATACATTCTTCCTAGTGGTTAATTGCTGTACAAGATGCGGACATGAGATCCTATTTACAAACACCATTAGAACACGTATTTTAGCTTTTGAGACCAGCTCTTGCCAGGTAGTTCAGGCAGGCTTTGAATTTATTTATTTATTTATTTATTTATTTTATTTATTTATTTTTTGTATTTTAGGGAAGGGTCTACAGGGGGTTCAGGGTCTCACTACTAGATCGGACTTGTAGTGATCTGCCTGTTTACAGCCTCCCAAAAGCTGGGTTTATAGGTGCACGCCACCATGCTCAGTCTCAATTGCCATCTCAGTGGGCTCTGGGGGCGGGGCTGGAACCCCTGGCCCCTGCACCTGCACCTGCTTGCAGGCACTTTAATCCACTGAGCTATTATGGCTGGCCCTTGAATTTAATATGTAGCCCAGCTGACCTTGAACTTGTGGTGATCCTCATGTCTCAGCCTCCTGAGTGTTGGGATTACAAGCAAGTGCTGGGATCTGCCAAATTTTAATTATGTTCTCAGGGTCCTGACAGTTTCAGAATGGAGCTCTTTTAAGAGTTTGAAGGAGGGGCTGGGGAGATAGCTTAGTAGAATAAGTTTTTGCCTGGCAAGCGCAAAAGCCTGAGTTCAATCCCTGGCTGTAAAGAGTTTAAGGAGCCTAAGAATAGCTAGCTTGCCTCCTTTCACTGTGGGGAAACTGAGGCCCCAGGAGCAAAGAGCAGTCATTGGCCAAGTTCACACACTCCCAGTGCACCCAGATGAACCGCCAGCCCCAACTGGTTTTGTTCCTGTGCCTTCCCAGACGGAGGCTGGTGTCAGCAGGCCCCAGCCCGCCCTGCTGCCCACGCCTGGACTGCCACAGCCTAGAGCTTGGAGCAGCAGGCGGTGACAGGCTGGCGGGCGGGCGTGGCGGCTGCTATGGGGATGCAGATGGTGCTGGCTTGACTGGTTCCTGGTGGCTGAGCTCTCTCCCGCTGCGCCATCCCACCCTGCTCACCTCTGGGTCCCTCCTCCTAGCAATGCCTCTGTGCAGACCAGGCCTCTCCTGGGTGGGGACTTGAGGGGGAAGGACTCTTGGGTTCATCGATCTCCGGGACCCCTTCAGAGTGGTGACACCTGTTTAAAATAACAAGCTTGATCCTGGTGGGAAACCCGGGGTAAGTGACTTCTTAGAGGTGACTTTGCACCGGGTCTCAGTAGATACTCAGTACATGACTGTACAGTCTTATTTCATCCTCTGTCCACTAGCACCTAGTAGATACCTCTCTCTCCCTGTCTTTTTCCACCCCCAGCCTTTTGTTTGTTGCATGTTTTTCAGATAGAATTTTGCTCAGTCACCCAGAGGCTGAGTTCAAATGTGAATCTCCTGCCTCAGCCTCCCAGAGTCCTGGGAGTACAGGCATGCATCACCATGCTCAGCTGGGAGTTGAGTCATTTTAGCAGGGCTGAGATAAAGAGATGGACGAGGAGGAGTTGTGTAAAGAGAGTGAAATCGCGTCCGAGGCCAGCCTGAACTACATTACATACCTACTACCTGTTTCGAAAAAAATAAATAAATAAAAGTAAATAAATAAAATAGGCAGGGAAGTGGCGCAGTTGTTCAGCGCCCCTGGTTTTGATCCCCAGTGCTGAGATAGAGAGGTCGAGAGATAGAGATAGAGATAGAGATAGAGATAGAGATAGAGATAGAGAGCTAAAGATCTAGATTGAGATAGGACTATTTGGAAACTTCCAGGGAGATCTGGACTCCTAGGAGCCTGTCGATTGGGTTTTGCAGGAGCTGACGTTTCCCAGCTGGGGCAGTGGAAGGGCGAAGCGCTTGCACGGTCGTGCTCCCTGGGCTCCGCGTTCCGGGGACCGGGTCTGAGCTGCTCCCCTACCGCGCAGGCGCCCCGCTGCGGCTGGCACCATGGACAGCGAGGCTTTCCATAGTGCGCGGGACCTCCTGGACCTGAATTTCCAGTGTGAGTGAAGGCGGGGAAGGGGGTCTGGCTGGCGGGGCCGGGGGTGGGGGAGAGGCGGCCCGGAGCCCGACCCCAAGCGCAGTTCTAACCCTTGCTCTGTCCGCGCAGCGCTGGCCATGAAGCACATGGACCTGAAGCAGATGGAGCTGGACACTGCGGCTGCCAAGGTGGACGAACTGACCAAGCAGCTGGAGTCGCTGTGGTCAGACTCGCCAGCGCCCCCTGGCTCACAGGCTGGAGCCCCCATTAGGGTGAGCCTGGGCTCTGCCCACAGCCCCCACAGACAGAGTCTCTCCAGGCCCCTAGGTGCAGATTAAAAAAAAAAAAAAGCTGCCCGTTTTGGTTGTGAGATCTTCAAGGACACTTGAAAGAAGTGGAGATCTAACAGCACATGGAAAGTGGAGATCTAACAGCACCCGGGGATGTTTTGAATCCTAAGTTGCGCAAAGAGCTGGGCATGGTGGCCTGGGTCTTTAATCAAAGCACTCGGGAGGCTGAGGCAGAAGGACTGCTCCCAGTTTGAGGCCAGCCTAGGCTACATAGTGAGTTCAAGGCCAGCCTGAACTACATAGCAAGATCTTGCCACAACAAACAAACAAAAATTAAAACAACTCACACGTAGGAGACAGTGAAGGCCCAAGTGAGAGCTCTTTCCCCAGCGTACCTCAGCTAGGCTCGCTGCCTACATTTCTACCTAGGCCCAGCTTTTTTTTTTTTATGTTTTAAAGTTTATTGGTACATGATACGTGATGATCACATTCCTCATAGGGAATGTGTGCCTGTACAGGATTGTGTGCCCCTTTCTTCTGCCCTCCCTGCAACCCCTCGTCCCCTCCCTATTTATAAAAGCTTTCTTTCCATTTTGTCTTTTCTTTTTTTTCCCCTTGTTTCCGTTTTCTCTTCCCCTTTCTTGTTCCCCATCTCATTTGAACATTTTCTTCCTATTTCACAATATATGTTATGCATTTTGGACCTTATATACATTTTCAGTTTCTCAGACCAGATAATCAGTGCAGTATTTATATATGTGTGACCAATTTATTTCACTTAAAAAGTATGGTCTCAAGGTGCATCTATTATCTGTTTTGGATGAAATATAGCCTCTTTATCTTTTTTTTTTTTTTTTTTTTGTCTTTTTGAGACAGGGTCTCTATGCAGTTCAGATTGGCCTTGAGTTCACTTTGTACCCCAGGCTGGTCTCAAACTCACAAGGATCCTCCTGCCTCAGCCTCCTGAGTGTTGGGATTACTGGCATGCGCCATCACACCCGGCAGTGGCTAAGTAGTACTCCATTGTACTGAAGAACCATATCTTTATCCATTCAGTGGTGGATGGGCGTTCCAGCTGTTTCTAATATTTGGCTATTACAAACTATGCCACTATAAACATGGTGTACATACAGGGCCATGCTGTGATGCTTTTAATTCTTTTTGGGAAGATACCAAGAATGGGAATAGCTGGGTCGGATGGAACCTCTAGTCCCTAGGTCCAGCTTCTCAGGGTGACTTTTTTCTCTCTGACTTTTGGGTTGAACCTAGGGTGTTCGCATTGAGCTACACAGCCCCAGTTTTTGCTTTGCTTTTTAAATTTTATTTTTACTTTGAGACAGGGTCTCCTTAAATTATCCAGGCTGGGCTGAACTTTGGATCCTACTGCTTTAGCCTCCCAGAATGCTGGGGTTACCATACAGGTGTGCACCACGATGCCCGACTCCTGGGTTCTCTTTCATGTCCTATTTGCTTTCTCCCATCGACCCCTCCAATAATGTCTCCTTTGATCCATCAACATCCGGGCCTCCCCACAGCAATCGCGGTACAGCTCCAGCCCGATCCCTGAGTCCTTCGGCAGCCGAGGCTCCCCGAGAAAGGCGGCCACCGACAGCGCAGACTCCCCGTTCGGACGCTCCGAGAGTGCCCCGGCTTTGCACTCCTACAGCCCACTGTCGCCCAAGGGCCGGCCCTCGTCCCCGCGCACCCTGCTGTACCTTCAGCCCGAGACCTACGGCAGTCTGGACCGCGCACCCTCGCCCCGGCCCCGCGCCTTTGATGGCGCCGGCAGCCCCCTGGGCCGTGCGCCCTCCCCGCGGCCAGGGTCGGGCCCGCTCCGCCAGCAAGGCCCCCCTGTGCCCTTTGACTATCTAAGCCGCTCGGGCTCCCCACGTGGTAGCCCTCTGGCGGAGGGGCCCCAGGCCTTCTTCCCCGAGCGCGGACCCTCGCCGCGTCCCCCTGCCTCAGCCTACGATGCGCCCGCTGCTTTCGGGAGCCCTCTGCTGGGCTCGGGCGGCAGTGCCTTCGCCCCGCCTTTGCGGGCCCAAGGTGAACCTGGGGCCTCAGAATGTGGGGGACCGGAGGGGCCTGTATCTATCCTCCCCTGCTTCCTCATCACCGCTTCCTCCCTTCAGATGACCTGACGCTGCGCCGGCGCCCCCTTAAAGCCTGGAATGAATCTGACCTGGATGTGGCTTATGAGAAGAAATCTTCGCAGACAGCGAGCTATGAACGTGAGTGATGGTGGACAGGCAAGGACGGGAGCGGAGCCCCCTCCGGCCCTAATGTAATGCTTGCACTCCACAGGCCTAGACGTCTTCACACGGCCTGCCTCGCCGGGCCTGCAGCTGCTGCCTTGGAGAGAGAGCAGCCTGGATGGGCTGGGGGCCTCGGGCAAGGTGAGCAGTGACTAGGACCCAGGTCTCCCCCCTGCCCCCCTCTTGTCTGTATTTATTTATTATTTTTGCGGTACTGGGATTGAACTTGGGACTTTACACTTGCCAAGCAGGTGCTTATGCCACTGAATTACATCCCCTGCCCCTCTGAGAGTCCTTGCTGCTTCTTGGACTTGTACTCCTGCTGGGTGGTCTGGAACTCCTCCCGTCTTTTTTTTTTAGACATAGCCTCATTGTATAGTTCAGGCTGGCCTCGGACTCGCTGAGATCCTCCTCCCACAGCCTTGAGTGGTGGGCTTACAGACGCATGTGCTACCATACTCCACCCATCTCCCCTTCTGCCTCCTAAGCCCCTTCTTTTAACCTACTTTTCCTCTCCCAGGACAATCTCACCAGTGCCACCTTGCCGCGCAATTACAAGGTTTCGCCTCTGGCCAACGACAGGCGCTCAGACGTAGGCAGCTACCGTCGTGCGATGGGTGCCACTGTGGGGCCATCGGGCACCCTGCCCCGCAGCTGGCAGCCTGTCAGCCGCATCCCCATGCCACCTGCCAGCCCGCAGCCCCGCGGGGCCCCGCGCCAACGCCCCATCCCCCTCAGCATGATATTCAAGCTGCAGAACGCCTTCTGGGAGCACGGGGCCAGCAGGGCCATGCTGCCTGGGTCCCCTGTCTTCTCCCGAGCACCCCCGCCTAAGCTGCCTCCACAGCCCCAGCAGCTGCCGCAGCCCCAGCAGCTTCCCCAGCCTCAGCCACATCCACAGCCCCAGCCTCAGCCTCAGCCCCAGCCCCAGCCCCAGCCCCAACCTCAGCCCCAGCTCCAGCCCCAGCCCCAGCCCCAGGCCCAAATACCCACCCCAGCTGCCCAACCCCCACAACAGACATGGGCACCTGTGAACGAAGGTGAGTACACGGCCCATTAGGGCAGGGGGTATGGAGCAAGTATGAGGAGCCACACCTGCTGGCGGACAGCACAGCCAACCAGACAGCCCCCCTGGGAGAGCTGGGCCCGGGGAGATCAGGAATTTGTACTGGAACCAGGGGTTGCAAACTGGCTAAACTTAGACCCTGGGCCCGCTCATCCTGTTCCTTGCTGTGTGACCTCAAGCAGGGCATTTAACCTCTCTGGGGCTCAAGTTCCTAGAGTGGGGAAGCTGAGTAATAATAAAACCTAGCTCACTGGGATATGGTATTCACAGTATACAAAGTCCATCCCCTACTGCATAGGAAGCTCATGTTTTTAGCGCACGGTCACTTGTTGAGCAGGAGGCTTGAGCCAGTCTCCACCGATGACTTGTTGGGTGACTGAGGATGAATCCTGTTCCCTAGCCTGCACGAGCCTCTCTCCCCCTCCATGAGGGGATATTAATTACACCTCTTTTATAGGACAGTGATGGAGATTATGAGATAGCGAATAAAGAGCGATCATTATTTTGCCACCTGCTTTAGAAGCACTCAACATAGAATAAGATAGAGGATTTGACTTCTGGCAGGAATTTTCTGCCTGAGGTCTTAGGAAAGAAAATTCTTAGGATCTTAGGAAGTCCAATATATTGTGGTTGACAAGACTACAGATTTTAGCCAGGATCAGTAGACATGCCTATCATCGTAGCTCTGTGGGAGGCTGAGGCAGGAAGACTATAAGTTGAAACTCAGCCTGGGCAATGTAGTGACTTAGTGAGACCCTGTCTCAAAACACAATAAAAGGGCTGGTCAAATAACTCAATGAATTAAAGCTCCTGCAAGCAGGCGCAGGGGCGGGGGGTTCAATCCCCAAGCCTGCCGAGCTGGCCTCAGCCCCCAGCCATGCTGAAACGGCGTGGTGGTGCATGCCTGTAATCCCAGCTCTTGGGAGGCTATAAACAGGCAGATCACTAGGAGTCTGATCTAGTAGTGAGACCCTGAACACCCTGCAGACCCTTCCCTGAAAACAAAATAAAATAAAAAAGGGCTGGAAGGGTGGGTCAGTGTGAAAGATTGGAGTTCAATCCTCAATACCTAAAAAAGAAAACAACAACAAAAAACCAAAACCAGAGATTCTAGAGTCAGTTACTTGTATGGCTTTGGGCAGCTGATTTGTGCCCACTGATCCTGAGATTGCCTTTCTCTAATACTGGAAACGATCACCTTTCAACTTCACACAGGAGTGGGGAAGGCCAGTATATACAGTCCCAAACGTACCCTAAATACTCATAAATGGGAGGTATGTAATTATAGGTTATTCACAGCCCAGAGAAGCATGAAGCTGCCCGGTGATCATACAGCAAATACAGTGGGCTGCAGGTCCTGGAAGTCAGGCTTCGTGCTCTAATGAGGCTGTCTTTCCTGCTAGGCCTCCTTAAATCCCCCGCTGAGCTGGATCCGGAGCCGGAACTCGAGGTGCTGCTGACCCCAGTGCTGGAGGCTGGTGATACAGATGAAGGCACTGTCACTCGACCCCTCAGTCCCACGAGGCTGCAGCCAGCGCTGCCACCCGAGGCGCAATCGGTGCCTGAGCTGGAGGAGGTGGCTCGAGTGCTGGCAGAGATCCCTCGGCCCCTCAAACGCAGGGGCTCCATGGAGCAGAGCCCTGCCGTGGCCCTGCCCCCCACCCATAAGAAGCAGTACCAGCAGATCATCAGCCGCCTCTTCCACCGGCACGGCGGGCCAGGGCCTGGGGGTCCTGAACCGGAGTTGTGTCCCATCACTGAGGGCTCCGAGGCCAGAGCAGGGCCCCCAGCTCCCGCCCCACCAGCTCCCATACCACCCCCAGCCCCACCCCAGAGCATCCCGCCAGAACAGCCCCAGAGCATGGTGAGTCCCACAGGAGGATGCTGGGCTATTTCTACTAGTGTCCAGGTCCAGCTGCTCTTAACGCACAGCCTCCTTTGTATGGTGGCCTAAATGAGACACGTTCTATTTAAGAGTCCAGGAGTAACACCTGGGTGGAATCAGGATCTGGTTTCACTCTACCTGGGGCTCCTGTCCGTCAGGATCTGGGCCAGGAAGGCTCTCGCTGTGCCAGCCAGGGAGAGGAAATAAGAGAAAAGGTCCGCTTAATCCACCCATCACTCTGTCCCTCCCACTGGACTGGAAGCCAGCTGTAAGGGATGCTGGGAAATGTAGTCCTCAATCTAACCAGTACTATGAGAAGAGGGAGCAAGATCTATCTATGGAGGCACATCCAGAAGTCTTGGCATATGAGTTATTTTATACCTTTCTCTGATGGCCTGTTGCATGTGTCCTGTTCTGGGTACTCCCTCAATAATTATTTATTTTTAGCCTTAGGGATTGAACCAGGGCCTTTGCATTGAGACACAACTCAAACCTTTTTTTCTTTCTCCTTTTTTTTTTTTTTTTTTTTAATATTGAGACAGGATCTCCGAGAGTTACTGTATTTCCCAGGCTGGGGTCAAACTTGCAGTCCTCCTGCCTGTGCCTCCCAGGGAGCTGGGATTACAGGCATGTGTCACCATGCTTGGCTCCATGCCACTTGTCAGAGGCAACTCTTTCTAGAGTTGCTGTGCAGATTGAGTGTGTTAGCATGTACGGAGCATGGTGCCTGGCATGTAGCTACTGACCACCAATTGGTGGTAGGAAGATTCTGCTGCTGAGCTTGGCTGAAGACAGCATAGTCAAATGGAACAGTTCTGAACACTGTGGGTAGAATGCAAGGTACAAGTCCCAGAGAAGTGAAGAAGATGTAGGTACCCCGGGCCCTACCTGAGGGAAAGGATGGCAACCCGAAACGGGAGTTGTCACATTGTAGAATCACAAAGTTCCAGCCACAGAAAGACTTGACAAATCACAGGATTCAAGGATTAGGGATTAATGGGGGGCCTGCCCCTTAGCTCAGTTCTTTAAGTGGCTGCTTCAACAAAGCAGTCAGGCTCAGGTTGCTGTGGTTCAATCCCCACAACACAAGCCAGCCAGTCATGCCTTGAAGGCATTCGGAGGAAAAAACAAACAAACAAAAAAAAACTTCAAGGATTAGGGATTAATTAATTCAAAGATTAAACTTTAGCCAGGTCAGGCAATGCATACACCTGTAATCCCAGCTACTAGGAGGCTGAGGCAGGAAGACTGTAAGCTCGAGGCCAGCCTGAACAACTTGGCAAAGCCCTGTCTCAAATAAAATTTGTCAAAGGGCTGGAGATAATGAAGTTCTGTGATGGACCCTTTCCCTAGGAGGGCCTGAGTTGGATCCCCAGCTACAAAACAATAATAACAAAACCCTGAGTGATCTAGATCGTTGCTTTCCACAATTACTGTCTTGAAGGTCTCAAATCACTTTGTCATCACCTGGATGGCCTCAGATCTCTTTGTCATCACCTCCCAGCTTACTCAGGACTCAAAATTTGGGTCCCAGGATTCCCTGGCTGCAATAGGAACCGAGTTTCAGCGCTGCCTCAGTGGCGGAGGACTCTTGACCTCCCTGGGAGTGAACCCCACCAACCCTTGCTGGGTCTAGATGGTGATTGGGAGTGCCTGCCGAGGCGCTAGGCTTCTATCCACCTCTGGGTCATGTATTAGGGATCCCCCCCCCATCGCCATTCCTACCCTGTCCACAGGAGATGCGCTCCGTGCTGCGCAAGGCGGGCTCCCCGCGCAAGGCCCGCCGCGCTCGCCTCAACCCACTGGTGCTGCTGCTGGATGCGGCGCTGACTGGGGAGCTGGAGGTGGTGCAGCAGGCAGTAAAGGAGGTGAGGCCAGCGAGCCGGATGGGTGGCAGGGGCGTGGGGCACGGGGGCTCAGGGCTGAGCCTCCCCTCACGTCTGCCAGATGAACGACCCAAGCCAGCCCAATGAGGAGGGCATCACAGCCCTGCACAACGCCATTTGCGGTGCTAACTATGCAATTGTCGACTTCCTCATCGCTGCTGGCGCCAACGTCAACTCCCCTGACAGCCACGGCTGGTGAGTCGGGGTGCGAGGACATCGCAGGGGCCTGGGGTTGGGGATGGCACTGCGGGCTGGGCATTCCACTTACGTGTCCCTCCTATGCCAGGACACCTTTGCACTGTGCGGCGTCGTGCAACGACACAGCCATCTGCATGGCCCTGGTGCAGCATGGCGCGGCCATCTTTGCCACGACGATCAGCGACGGTGCCACTGCCATCGAGAAGTGCGACCCCTACCGGGAGGGCTATGCCGACTGTGCCACCTACCTGGCAGGTGCGGGACAGTGCTGGCAGGAGGGACGCAGGGGCTGTCCCGGCCTAGGCGAGACTTGTGGAGGAGAGGAAAGCAGGATGGATCATAGGTGGACAAAGTGGGGGGCTTGGAGGTCCCATCTGTGCCACCAGTCTGGCACCAGTAGGGACTGTGCCTGCTGTGGTGAGACAAGCGGCTGTGGCCTGCCCAGGTAGCTAGCCACAGCACCTTTCCCATAGGAGGAGCCAGGTAGGGGGCGCGTGAGGATGGTGCCTTGCACACAGCTGCATGCCTGGAGATGCAGCTGGTATCCTTCGTTGACATCAAGGACCGTGGAGTTAGGGATTCAACAATGTACCGGAGGGAGTAAAAGCAGGACGTGGAGGCTTACTCCTGTAATCCCAGCACTGTCAGATGCTGAGGGAGAATGACTTGCCCAGTCTGGACAACTTAGTGGCTTAGTAAGACCCCAGTGTGAAGGACCTGGGTTGAATCCCCAGTACCATGAAAACAAACGGATACATAGAAAAGGGGGGCAGTGGGCACCGGTCTTGGCTTGCGGCAAATGGCCTAGCTTCATGCCTGTCAGTGTCCATGAATGTTAGAGATGCCATGCCCAGCACCCTCCAGCTCTGCCTCCCATCCCCAGAGGAAGGTACTTGTGTACATGGCGCAAACCCCAGGACTGGCCCTATCCCCAGGGAGCCCAGTGTCCCTGCGCCCCTAGGTTGGGCTCTTACCCCTGACTGTGTGTTTCAGACGTGGAGCACAGCATGGGGCTGATGCACAGCGGGACGGTGTATGCGCTCTGGGACTACAGCGCCGAGTTCGGGGATGAGCTGTCCTTCCGCGAGGGTGACTCTGTCACCGTGCTGCGGAGGGATGGGCAGGAGGAGACCGACTGGTGGTGGGCAGCACTGCACGGACAGGAGGGCTATGTGCCACGGAACTACTTTGGGGTGAGCCTGGTGGGTTCGGGGCAGCACTGTGGGAAAAGGAGGAGGTGAAGGAGGCCCATGACAGAGGGAGAAAGGGACAGAAGAGTCCACTGTTGGTCTTGGGGAGAAGAAAAGCCCATTGTAGTAAGAAACTAAGGGAGAGTCCCTGGAAGGGCTGGTACTGCTGCTTTTGTTGTTTGATTTGTACCAGTCAAATGTTTTTATTGGGCTGGGAATTGGCTCAGTGGCAGAGCACTTGCTAGCGTGGCCCTGGCTTCCATCCTGCAAAGTACTGGGGATCAAACTCGGGACCTTGCGCTTGCCAGGCAGGTGCTTATGCCGCTGAGCTATATCCCCAGCCCATACCTCTGATATTAATGGGAAGATTAGAGAATGTATTTTAGCCAAGAGGAGCATTGAAAAACTCCATCTTGCTAATAGAGTTAAAGAATTGTCTATTGAAGGCAGAGTAGGGAATATTTTGTTAGCATTGGGAAGAGGAGGAAGAACCCATTAATATAATCACAGCACAAAGCTGAGTATGGTGACACCTGGGGGCTGAGGTAGGAGGATTTCAAGTTCAAGGCCAGCCTGAGCTACCCCCTTTACCTCCCAAATCATAGTAGAATTGAAGCTCATTCTAATAGGTTGGAGGATGTTTCCATTATATTCCTAAGAGAGTTTAATTTGGGGGTGGGTGGAGGTGGAACCCCCCCAGGCAGCCGTGGTGGCAGGGAGCCTCAGTGGTGCACAGTATCAGTAGAGCTGCTGATCGGAAGACTCCTTATGGTGCTTGGAGGTGACAAGGGACTCGGGATTCTGGCGTGCATGCAAGGATGGAGCAGACTGCATCCTGGCGGGGCGCTGGGGCAGGACGAGGGGTGGGAGTAGCTGATGTCTGTCTGAAGATCGCCTTCCCTCAGCTTTTCCCCAGGGTGAAGTCCCAGAAGAATAAAGTCTAGGAGGATGGAAGACGTCTCCCAGGGAGACAAAAGCACCACCTAACTGCTCCCCAGACCTCAGACCTGCCTCTTCATTTATGCTGCACCTCTCACTCTGCAGGCCTGGGGCCCTCACCCCCACTTCCTGCTCCTCCAGAATTCTAGGGAGGAGAATCTCAGCCTTCAATTTAGCAACCTGCCTTAGCCATGGGAAGTTCAGGGAGTGGGGCTGGAGTCTTTTGTTGTGTGTGTGTGGTTCTGGCGAATTGAATGCAGGACCTTTATACTGAGCTACATCCCCAGCCAGCCCTTTGTTTATTATTATTATTATTTTTTTTTTAATTTTGAAACAGAGTCTCACTAAGTCACTACATTGCCCAGGCTGGGCTTTAGCTTGCAGTCCTCCTGCCTCAACTTCCCAGAGTGCTGGGATTATAGGCAGTTGCCACCATCCCCAGCTGGCTGGAAATTTCTGGGGACAGAACACTCCCTACATTGGCCAAACCAGATCCATCCAAAGTGCCTTCCACTCCTAGTGCCAACAGTCCTGAGCCCTGGCCAGCCAACATGCCATCCCAGCTGAGCCAGGGGCAGGTGACCCTGTGCCTCCTGGCAGCTCTGGAATCAGAGTGGCACATATTAGTCTACTATCCCTGTTCCCACTCCTCAATTAAGTGCCTTCACACAGTGCTGGCTTTATGTGTAACAGAATGGGGAAATTTTCCTTATAAATAAAGGTAGTTTATTGAGTTCTCCTTTGACGTTGACTCAATAAATGCTCAGATGGGGTGGGTGGGTGGGTGGGTGTGTACTGGTGCCAGGGGATGACTCTGGGACCTCATGCCCACTAAACCCAGTGTTCTGCTACTGAGCTATACCCCCAGTGCCTGGCAACCCAACTGCTTTCTTTCTTTTTTTTTTTTTTTTAAGACAGGTTCTTGCTGTGCAGTTGAGGCTGTACCTGTGCTCACTTTGGTAGCTCCCAGGCTGGCCTCAAACTCAACCTCTCAAGTGTGGGGATTACACCCATGTACCACCATACCCAGTTCTGGGGACTGCAGGGCACATCCATGGTGTTCTGGGGGCAGATTCCCAGGGGATGAACTGGGGTAGGTGCTTTTTTTTTTTTTTTTGGTGGAACCGGGGATTGAACTCAGACCCTTGCACTTGCCAGGGAAGTGCTTATTCTACTGAGCCATCTCCCCAGTACCTGGCTTCTGAGCTATCTCCCAGCCCTGCCCCCTGCTTTCTTAAAGCAACTGCTGTCTAAGAGAGTCTCCTTACCACAGTCTAACCCTTCTTTTTCTTTTTTTTTCTTTTAATCCTTCTTTTTCATGCTTTGAATTCTTTTGTGTCTTCCTTTACAGTGTGCACTAGTTAGCTTTCATCATATAACAAATACCAGAGGCAAGCTATTTTTTTATTTTTATTTTTTCCAATAAACAGTATTTTATTTTATGACACTCTGCATTAATACAATAAATATACAAAACTTCCAAACCACTGAAAACATGCAACATGAGAGGACAGATGGAAGGCATTGGTACAGAACTGTGACAGTCACCATGACGGAAGCTATCTTTTTAGATAGGTCACTTATTTCTTTCTTCTTTCTTTTTTTTTTTACGAACTGGGGATTGAACTCAGGCTCTTGTGCTTGCCAGGGAAGCGCTTATTCCACTGAGACATCTCCCCAGCCACGCTTAGTCCACTGAGCTATCTTGCTGGCCCCACCCAGCTAATTTTAAAAAATTATCTAAGAGTAAATAAAACTGAAAAAGTACAGTAGATAATGTGAAAGAGAAAGGAAAGTGCTCAAAAGGAAAGAATAACTGGGATGAGGGAAAGGAGAAAGAAGAAAGAAGGGGAAGATATTAAGATAATTATACTACTAATTTCTATTGGTTTATTGAAAGGAACAATTAATGCTTGTTTTGACCAATATTATATGTTTATATTTGGTAATCTGAACAACTACTTTGAAGACAACTGTACAATATAGCAATTATTGAATGCCGTATCTTTTTGTGTGTGTGTGTGTGTGTGTGTGTGTGTGTGTGTGTGTGTGGCTGGCTCAGCCCATCCCCTGGGTGGGGCTGGCGCAGCATGTGACACTGGGGATCAAAATGCACTCCCTGCGCGCTTTGCCTAAGCTTGCCTAAGCAGGCGCTTTAGACCGCTGAGCCATCTTGCCGGCCCTATCATCTTGTTTTTTAAATTTTTATTTATTTACTGACATTCGGTATCATTTCTTTTTTTTTTAAAGTTTTTTTTTAATTAATTAATTTATTTATTTTTTAGTGTGTATGTGTGTGGGCGCGCGCGCGTGTGTGTGTG